CCCTACACAGGGTTGCTATAGGTCGGAATCGACTCAATGGCACTTCACAACAACATATTGTTTATACAATCAGTTTAGGCACAGTGAACCACTCTTAGAGAATGTGGCATCCTCCTGGAGCCTAAGTTCCCAGACATGCTAGAGACAACTTTATAAAGAGGCCTTTCTAAGGGCAGCAATTTCAGGCCTTCACTGGACTGCAAATCACCAGGTTGGCGGTTCAAACCCACCAGCTACTCCTTGGAATCCTTATACAGGGTCACTGTAAGTCGGAACTGAATCAATGGCGTTTTACAACAACATGTTTCAATAGCTTCATATGCATGTGAAAGTTGGACACTGAATAAGGAAGACTGTAGAAGAATTTATGGATTTGAGTTATGGTGATGGAGAATATTGAAAGTACCATGGAATTCTAGAACAAACCAATCTGTGTTGGAAGAAGTATAGCTAGAATGCTCTTTAAAAGCCAGGATGGCCAGACTTCATCTCTTGTAGTTCATATATATTATCAGGAGGGACCAGTCCCTGGAAAAGGACATCATGGTTGATGAAGTAGAGGGTCAATGAAAAAGAGGAAGACCCCCAATGAGATAGGTTAGCACAATGGCAGCAGCAATGGGCTCAAGTGTAGCAAATGAATGTGTATGGCGCAGGACAGGGGTGTGTTTGGTTCTGTTAATTACTCTTTTCTTGCAAACCATTCCAGTTTTAAGAATTTTCTGTACATTTCTGGCTAAGGTGTACAAACCATGCAAGATGGTCCCTGTGAAATTTAGGCAGATCCTGCAGGATTACAATGTTGTTCTTAGGTGCCATTGAGTCAGTACCAACTCATAGTGACCTTATGCACAACAGAATGAAACATTGCCCGATCCTGGGCCAACCTCACAATCACTGCTATACAGCACGACAGTGGACTAAGGCAAATTCAGTCAAGTAGCAGCCCTGACTATAGCTGCTGTGCTAGAAGTGATATTAACATGGATACAAGAACACAGTATGCAAACACTGACCTGGTGAGTGCACGCTTTTCCATCTCTATTACAAAAGAGGATATGGAACAGTTTGCATTGACATGGAATGGGCAATGGTTTATGTGTACGGTCTTATCCCATGGCTATCTTAACTCTCCTGCTTGTGTTAGGGTATAGGAGAAAGAGAATTAGACCAGATTGACAATCTACAGGGCATTACTTATTCACTGTATTGATGGACTGTTAATCCACTGGCATCAGCAAGAAGTGACTAGTAAATCTGAGGCTTGAGAGAGGGTGAGAGATAAAACCTTTGAAATTCAGGTGCCCACCACATCAATAAAAAATTGGGGTGGGGATCTCTAGAGATCTGGGGCATGCTAGGATATTCCCCTAAGGCAAACGACAAATGATTATGCCTTGCATCTCCCATGAAGGAATCACAATACCTAATAGACCTCTGTGTTCTGAGGGCAGAATACTATACACCAGAGAATGTGAAGGGGTTTCAGAAAGCTCATGGAGAAATTCCATTGTCTTTTTTTTTTTTTTTTAAATGTTTTATTGTGAATTATATGATAGTTTACATGAGAGAACTTTAGTTTTACATTCATTGTCTTTTAATTCCATTTTTCTACAAATTACATGAAAAGCTTCTAGTTTTGAGTGAAGCCCAAAGCAGGAAAGGGCTCCATGGCAGACTTGCTGTCTGGGCCATTTAAACTAGCAGATCCTATTTGTGTTATTGGCGGAGGGAAAATATGTAGAAGAAATTAAAGCAAAAACACTGTACACATATGCTTGTCTTTTTGCTACTTATTTTATTGAATAATGATGTATAAAAATCATACAGATCACATTACTGAATAAAATATTTTATTTTTTCAAATATATAATGGATTCTTCACCACTCTATTATTTCTGCAATAATTTTTCTAAAACTAAATATGTATTTAATACATCTCATCCTTTTTTCAAATTAAAGACTAGGGTACAGTTCTCTTAAGCAACCAAACCTATTTATATGGAGAAAAATGCCATGCTACATCGTTTGTACCTGATTTGGTGCTGAGGTTGAACTAGTATTTTGGTTTATTCCAAGAGTCAGAGGTCACGCAATGTGAAGCGTTTAGGTCAGCCTTGGCTGCCCGAGGGACCTCTGGATGGAGGATGACTTGGTTTATCTCTGCATTGGACAATTTTTCCCCAGGCCTGTCTGGAGTCTCTGGGAACAGAGGACTCAGGTGTATACTCTGTTCAGGCATTTGTTGGGGCAGCAGGTGGGAAGGGCTTTATTTTTCATGTAAGTCTTCTATTGATTATCATTCTCCATGAGAAGAAAGAGCAAATGAATAGCCCCAGATGACAGCCATATTCTGCCCAGTTAGCTACCTCCCAGCACTACTAGGTTGAATGGAAAAGATGACAGAAGCTGTGAACACAAGTAGTAACAGTGACCATAGCGACAGTGATACTGTGATAGTGGTAGAAACAGAGACTTCACTCTTGGAAAGGTTGGAGAGGGGTGTCCTTACTTAGTCCGAGCAGTCATCAGAGAGCCAAAGTTTGGACATAACTATGTTTGGATTGATCTCTTCCTTTAGCTATGAATTGGCTTATTTTAATTATATCTTCACAAACAGGATAACGGAAAAACTCTCCATTTCTATCATGGTCTCGCATAAAACCAAGATCATAACCAAAATTCCCATCAGACTATTCATTATGAATTAAAAATTAAATGATAACTAAGAGAAATAATGGGTAGCTATTGAGGTGTTTTTTTTTTTTTTAAAGATAGTAACAAGATAAGACCTCAGTGATTTCCTTTCAACATAATGTTGATCTCTTAAACGTTGGCAAAAGTCCATTTATAGAGAAGCCCTGGGATCCTACATAAGAATATGACATGCATTAAAACATAGAAAATTCTTAAATATAAAAAAATACAAGTGACCATAACCTTACTGATAAGATTATATCACAAATAAAATCACAACGAACAAATTAGCACAAAATGCAATCATGTCTATTTAATCCATTAAAAACAACTGTATTTAAAGTCTAATGATTGTAGCATGAACTTCAGAATGAGGCTTGTATATGCATCTGTGCTTCAAAGTAGAATGTGGCTTTGGGATAATAGTTTTCATTCTAATCCATAGTGTTTATGGCCCTTCACTTTAGTTTCTTCTAGTAAGAAATTGTTGTTGTTGTTGTTAAGTGCCGTTGAGTCAGTTCTGACCCATAGCGACCCTGTACAGGGTTTCCGAGGATGTAAATCTTTACGGGAGTAGAAAACCTCATCTTTCTCCCGCGGAGCGGCTGGTAGTTTCGAACCGCTGACCTTAAGGTTCACAGCCCGATTCGTAACCACTACGCTACCAGAGCTCCTTAGGAGAATGCAAAATTTCTGACACATGGATCAATCAGTAAAGAACTAAGAGATAATTCTTATGTATATTCAGTAAGAAACTATTTAAAGCTGTTGTTTTACTTACCTATTTCTCTTAAGTAAAAGCCCCTGGATAATAATACAGTTTCCTAATTAAAGGAAAATATTTTAACCCCTTCTCCAATTCCTATTTCAACTGGAAATGTCAAGATAATGAATTTATAATGGTTTCATTGTACAGAAAGTTGTTACTGTATTAACATTGATATGTATAAATGTTAATAGACAAAGCAGGTTTCTGTAATAAACAAAGCAGCATTGAGAGTATTCAGCTAGTACTGGCATTCGGGTTTTAAAGATATAGTTTTATGATGGTAGTCATGAAACAGTATGTTCAGAAGGACTGTCAGATAGAAACATTTGAAAATCCAAGTTATGATACTTCTCTGTTTTTAAAGATATTTTATTTTAATGCACATTAAACTGTGTTCTTAATGAAGAAAAAGGGTATATTCTACTGAAAAACAGACTTCATGAGGGGGCTTCCTAGGTTGGCTCTGGAAAACTTTTAACAGCCAACAGGGCTTTACCATATGCTAATCTAAAGGGTTCAGGTGTAGCACTGTGGGATAATGCGCTGGACTGCAAAGTCGGATTTAACCACAAGGTCAGTGCTTCAAGCTCACCAGTTGCTCCTTGGAAACCCTATACAGGGTCGCTGTGGGTCGGAACAAGCTTGATGGCACTTAACAACAACAATTCTAAGGGATGCCCTGTAAAAAGACCCTATGGTATTATTTATATCTAAATTACTGATAACTGATTGGATTAATAACAACAATCCTATTGTATTATTGATAACTAAATGGAGTCCTGGTGTGGCTCTGTGGGTTAATGCACTGGATTGCAAGGTGGGTTTGAACCGCAAGGTGGGACGTTCAAGTTCACCAAATGCTCTTTGGAAACCCTATACAGGGTTGTTGTGACTTAACAACAACAACAAATTGGCTTATATCCAAGATAGACATATAAATTAATTCTACTTTATAGTAAAATACATTTCAGGTAAAAGTCAATGTACTTACCATAAAGTATACATAAGTAAAGATAGTCTTTTGAAGCCAAAAACTGATGCTGCTTAAGAAGTATCCAACTCCTAGCATTATAGCTGAACTGCTTTAATATCATTTCTCTAGTCCTATGGAGTTTTCTCGGAGTACTGGTGTGGCGCCGTGAATTAACGCACCAGACTGTAAAGCCATTTGAACTGCAAGGTTGGTGGTTCAAGCTCACCAGCTGCTCCTCGGAAACCCTATACAGGGTCGCTATAGGTTGGAACTGACTCAATGACAACAACAACAATGATGGAGTTTTCTTGAGCTTTTAACATCTTACAAATTGCACTACTTTAGGCCTATAAAACATAATTATCACAAGGTATACAACATGATAACTAGCAAAATTTCTGCATTCCTTCGAAAAAGTCTTTGTATAACAACTATAACACTCCAGAGGATTCAAAGAAGTATTTAAATGATGGATATTATTTAGTGATGGCAATTGAGTTTTTTTTTTTTTTTAAAAAAACGTCGTACCAATGTCAATTTTAGGTGGAACATGAAATTATTTCATGAAATATAGTCTTGTTCTACATTCTCCTGACAACATTCCCAACAGAAAGTTTCCAGTCTATTTGCTGTGTCTTGACTGATGAGACATTCATCCTTTAATTCCCTGATTGTCTTCCTCAATGATTTTTGGAATTGTTTCTCTCGGTCTAAAACATTACGCAGACTTTCCTTGGCATCCTCTAGCTCGCTGATCACATGATCTAGTTTATGCTTAAGTTTCTTTGGGCTGTCCATTACACTGTAGCTATGTTCCTAAAAACATAAAGACCAAGTTATTAAACCATAAAGACAAGTAATTACTTAAAAGCTTAAAACTAGGCCTCAGCTGTTTCTTCATTTACGATACTTGAAGAAGATCCTTAAGTTAATTATGTGTGATATTCAGAGGTTTAAAGGACATAGGAAGAGAATAGAGTAGAAGCAGTCATTAGGGGGCCTTTTAATAACCTCATATGCATGTGAAAGTTGGACAGTAATTAAGGAAGACCATAGAAGAATTGATGCTTTTGAGCTGTGGTGTTGGGGGAGAATATTGAAAGTGCCATGGGCTACCCATAGAACCAACAGATCTGTGTTGGAAGAAGTGCAGCCAGAGTGCTTCTTGGAGGCCAAGATGGCCAAACTTCGTCTCTTATACTTCAGACATATTGTCAGGAGGGACCAGTCGCTGGAGAAGGATATCATGTTTGGTAAGGTGGAGGGTCTGAGAAAAAGAGGAAGACCCCAATGAGATGGATTAGCCAAGTGGCAGCATCGATGGACTCAAGCATGGCAACAATATTGAGGTTGGCCCAGGATCGGGCAGTGTTTCGTTCTGCTGTGCATAAGGTCACTATGAGTCGGTCCCGACTCGATGGCATCTAACAACAACAGTCACTCTCCTTTTTCTAAGGCTTGGGCAATTATGCAGACTATTATTGAAAACAAACACCTCTCATCTGGTAGTAAGTACCTGCTATGAACATGCGACAACTGACTGACCCTGGAGCTTGAGTCCCGTAAAGATGCCACTGGAAGTTTCAGTTTTACCTGCTAAACAGATCCAGACTGTCAAGTTTTTAGCCGAGTTACTTTATTTTGAGGGATTTTTCTTTCATAAGAGATGACGGAAAAGGGGCACAGAAGCAGGTCTTCTAACTGGTATTACAGATTTAGAGAGGACTCTAGCCTAGAATCTTCAAGAGATCATTTTACTCCTTTCGAAACTTATTATTCTTATACTTTGGGTACTACTTTTTTTTCTTCATTTGACAACGGGAAAAATAATACTGACATCTCTCTTACAAGGTCCTACTATACGATAATTCTGAAACACTGTCATTTAATATTAAAATTAGTGAAGATGGCTTTGATTACAACTATGATGAAGATTCTCCCACCAAAGGAACCAAAACATTGTCATAGCACATAAAAGTAATTTTCAAGATAAACACCAGGTAAGGAAAGCAGTGGCCTTTGAGAGATGTGAAATTAACGTCTATAATTGCCCTATTTTTACTGCCTTGACAGTTTCCAGGCCACACTGCAAGGTGGTGGAGTCTGTCAGAGTTCTGAAGAGACAGTGGAGTCTACAGAGCTCTGGTAGCGTAGTGGTTACGAACTGGGCTGCTAACCTCAGGGTCAGCAGTTCAAAACTACCAGCTGTTCCGCAGGAGAAAAATGAGGCTTTCTGCTTCCGTAAAGATTTACAGCCTCGGATACCCTGTACAGGGTTGCTACGAGTCAGAATCAACTCCACAGCGTGGCTAGAATTCACAGAAATGAAGTCCTAGAGAGGTGAATGTTGCATGGATACAGAACTCTAGAGATCCTCAGCACATCCCCCTCAAGTATTCTGCTGAGTAAGATTGGTGCATGTATGCATATGTGTGAGGATACTACTCAGAGTGAGCAAAGAATCCCCAGAAAAAAACTAGGAGTGACCCATACTCACAAAGAACTTGGAATAACGTCTATTTCTACCAGTCAGATTAGCAAACTCCAATACTCAAGACCCATTATGCAGAATGTACAAAGGGTCTTGTCTTAGTCCTAGACAGGAGTCCTGCTCTGGTCCTGCCAAGCCAAGCAAAGTCTGAAAGGATCAGTCTGTTTCCAAGTAACTTACCTGTATCCCAGAAGAACACTCAAAAATATAGGATATAAAAATGTAGTATGTGGCACCTAAAATTTACCAAGCATGCAAAAAAGCAGGAAAAGACGATCCATAATGAGATAAATGAATTCATGGGAACCAATGCAGATAAAAGAATTTACAAATTATTAAAGTTGCATTCCATATGTACAAAAAGTTAATTAGAGACATGCAAGATGTAAAAAGATTCAGAACACATAGAGATAAAAATTATAACATATAAGATAAAAAATATACAGGATGTGATTAAAGGCAGATTAAACACTTTAGAAGAAAATATTCATGAACATGAAGACATAACAATAGGAATTATTCAGACTGAATCACAGAATTTTTTTTTTTTTAAATAATAAAATAAAAAACCCCAGAGAATCAGTGTGCAGCCACCTATAAGTATACTTGGAATTCCTGAAAACGAGGAGAAAAGTTGAGATAGAAAAATTATTTAAGAACTAGATTAAAATTCCCCCAAAAGCTGTAAACCCACAGATCAAGAAACTCAACAAGTCCTAAGCACCAGAAACATGAAAAAAATGAAACCAAAGCACATCATAATCAAACTAAGTCAGAACAAGTGGAAAAAGAGATAATCTTAAAATGTAGGCAATGTAAAAAAACACATACGTAAGCTAGAGAAGATAAAGATAAGAATAACAATAGATTTCTTATCAGAAATATGCATGTGAGAATATGGTACAGTGGCATCTTTAAAGTACCAAGAAAATTACAAACACATCTATCAACCTAGAGTTCAATCCCTAGTCAAAATATCTTTCAAGAATTAAGGCTAAATAATGACTTTTTCAGGTATACAGAAGATGAAAGAATTTACCACCAAAATATTTACAATACAAAAAATACTAAAGGAAGTTCTTTAGGCAGAAGGAAAATGATACCAGATGGCAATATGGATTTATACAAAGAATAAAAACCTTGAATATGACAACTATATGGGTTAAGTACATAAGACCTTTTTTTAATGATTTAAATCTCTTTAAAAATTGATGTTAAGAAAATTAATTTTTTAAGAATAACAACAAAGTAGTATGGCATTCATAACATGTAGAGATAAAATGCATGACAATAAAAGCACAATGGCTGGTAGAGATCATATGAACGTAAACTACTATAAGGTTCTTATACTATATGTGCAGTGGTAGAATATCACTTGACCATAGTCTGTACTTAGTTAAAGATGTATACTATAAAACAACAAAAAATACTACTAAGACAACAAAAGAGATACAGGTTAATGAGTCAAAAAAGAGCTAAAATGAAGTCATAAGCAGTATTCAGTTTATTCAAAAGAAGACAGAAAAAGAAGAAACTGGGAACAAAGAACACATGGAACAAACCAGAAAAAGAAAGATGACAAATTTAAATCTAACCAGCTCAATAATCACATTAAGTGTGGGGGTGGTAGTGGGTATGTGCTGTGGATTCGGTTCCGACTCATAGTGCCCCGGTACAGGGTTTCCGAGGCTGTAAATCTTTACAGGAGCAAAAAACATCAACTTTCTCCTGCGGAACAGCTGGTAGTTTCAAACTGCTGACCTGCAGTTCACAGCTCGGATAGTAACCACCACGCTACCAGAGCTCCTTTCATTAAGTGTAAATGGTCTAAATAAACCAATTAAAACTAGAGGTTATCAGACTAGATGAAAAATAAAATAAAAAGCAAAACCCCAGTTATGTTGTCTATAAGAAATGTACTTCAAATATAAAAAAGACAAAAATAGGTTGAAAGTAAAACAGTGGAAAGAGGTATACCATGATTAACACTAATAAAAATTATTACCAGTGTAGATTTCAAGCAAAGACTATTATCAGATCTACAAAATATATTAAGCAAAACGAACAATTTTAAGAATCAGAGATATACATGGCTATAATAGAAGACTTACAAACCCCAATGGCTCTGCCCACCACTCATCTGTTTGTCATACTGTGGTGGCTGTGTGTTGCTGTGATGCTGGAAACTGCAGAATAGTTACCTTCTCAAAGTAAATTTGACTTTAATGATGTGGATGGAGCAAAGCTTTCAGGACTTTCATTTGCTGATGGGGATCAGCTCAAAATGAGAAGAAACAGCTGCAAAAATCCATTAGTAATTGGAACGTGGAATGTATAAAGCATGAGTCTAGGAAAATTGGAAGTCTTAAAAATGAAATGGAATGCATAAAGATTGATATCATAGTCATCAGTGAGCTGAAACAGACTAGTATTGACCATTTTAAATAGGAATGGGAATGACAAATTGCAGAGAAGTAGCATTGCATTGATAGTGAAAAAACAAACAAAAACCATTTCAAGATGTATTCTGAAGTACAATGCTGTCTGTGATATTATAATATACAAAAGCTTAAAAGGAAGACCAGTTAATACCACTATTATTCAAATTTATGTACCAACCACTAAAGTCAGTGATGATGAAATTGAAGAATTTTATCAATTTCTTCAGTCTGAAATAGATCAAATATGCAATAAAGGTGCATTAATAATTATTGGTGATTGGATTGTGAAAGTTGGAAACAATAAAGGAGGATCAGAAATTGAAAAATATGTCCTTGGTGATAGATAGGAGCTGGAGATCACATGATGGAATTTTGCAAGACCAATGACTTCTTTATTGCAAATACCTTTACTCAACACCATAAACAGAGGTTACACACATAGACCATAACCAGAAGGAATACACAGGAATCAAAGACTATGACTGTGGGAAGAGATGGTAGAGAAACTCATTAACATCAGTCAAAACAAGTCCTGGGGCAGACTGTGGAAAAGACTATCAATTGCTCAGGTGGAATTTCTTGGCTGAAGCTAAAGAAAATGGTAACAGGACCCTGAGAGCTAAACTATAACCCTGAATATATGCCACCTAAATTTACAGACCATCTCAGGAACACATTTGATGCATTAGTTGCTAATGACTTATGAGATGATATTAAGAACAACATACCTGAAGAAGGCAAAAGGTTACTAAAAAGAGGGAAAAGAAAAAAAAAAAGGATCAAAATGGATGTTAAGAGAGACTCTGATACCTGCACTTAAGCATAGAAAAACAAAAGGGTCTAGAAGAAATCAGGAAGTAAAAGGGCTGAACAGAAACTTTCAA